GCAAAAATTATTACTTTAATTAAGTGTGGTTTAAAAGTACGTGATTTTATAAAATGATTCTTGTAAATATACAATATGTATAATGGTGAATAATTAATAAATTAAAAAATTAAAACTAATAGGGGTATCGTATAATTTTAAGGGCATTATAAATCCCCTTATTTTGACGTAATAGTTTTTAATCGGTTTGTTCGTTTTCAAGATATTACAGAAAATTTTTCTTTTTTAATTTATTTTTGTCTTAAATATCTCAGGAACAAACTAACCGATTTTAAAAACTAATACGCCAAAATGTAGATATTTAAAATGCCTTTAAAATGACGTATCACTCATTTTTAATTTAAAGTGAAGAAGAAAACCGGGGTGGAAACTTTTTGGTTAATTTAATTTGGAAAATATCAAAAAAAATTATTTTCACTAATCAGCATTCAAATTGGAGTATTTTAGTATTTTTATTTAGTAGTTCTGAGATACAGGGTATTAAAATTATACAGTAACCGTACAATATTAAAAAAATATAAATTTTGAAATACAAGTTTAAAATTTGGTATGCTGTAGGTAATATCTAAAGCAAATAATTTTTTTATTTAATTTTAATTATTATACCGGGTGATTTTCTTTATACGCTGCTGGTTAAATTTAATAATAAAATAAGATAAGATAAGAAGGTAGGTTCTAAAATCACATGTAAATATTCAATTAATCAAATTTGGCAATATGTATTGATTATAATACAACAATAAGAAAGCTAAGTAATGATAATAATAATAATAATAATGATAATAACGATAATAATCCTAATAATGATAATAATCATACTAAATAAATAAACGGAAATGAAAATTGATATTTAAAATACTTACCATTAAAATTATTAACTACCGTACACAGACAGTGTAAGGATCTTGAGATATTTCGCAAATCTTTTTATTAACTTAATATTTATATTTTGTATAATACAATAAATATTACTATACGTAAATCACATCCATACAACCATATTAAAAATTACGATCTACTAATATTTTTACAGTAATATTTCCCAAAAATTTATACTAAAAAAATAATATATTTTGTTAAATATGTAACATTTTAAATTTACTGACGAATATTTAAAAGTATAACCCTCAAAATTTGATAAAGTAGATTTTACTTTTTTTTACTATCTGAAGCTTACTTATCTCCGTTCAGGAGGGAAAGTGTGATTTTGGACCAAATGGTAAAGAGCATATCGGGACTGTATCAGAGCTGTGAAATACATATTCATTATTTATATGCCAAACGGCGTTGCCAAATTTAGGGTTTGAAGACGTAGTTTAACTATGCCGAATATATACAGCTAGCTGAGCCCGACCGAGGCGCCCTCGAACTGGCTGAACCGTGAACTAAATCTGTATATTTCATCATGTTTCACCGCCTTTTCAAGCCCACCTAAAAATTTACCCCCTGCACCCACCAACCCCCCTGATTTCCATACTATGATTAACTTTTTCAGTCCCGAAGCCTGAAAACGTCAATTTTGGTATGTATAGGCGGCAAAGTATGACGATTTGGGTCTGTATGTGCGGTCAAACAAATCTATATATATATATATATATATATATATATATATATATATATATATATATATATATATATATATATATATATATATATATTTAAATTTACTGGAAACATCAAAGACTTCAATTAATAGAGCTAAATTTACTCAAATACATTATACATACACATTGCATATGTAAGGTTCAAAAACCGAAAACGCTCGGTGATGAAACTTAATTAATAATTTTTTCTACCCCCACCTTTAAAACGCCCTTTATCGTACATGTTTCCATGACACTAAGTGACCTTTTAAATAAACATTTACAAGTTGTGTCTTTATAGCGTTTTAGTCACGGGCTGAAGTTGGCAACAGGTTTTTAGTCACGGGCTGAAGTTAGTTTTAAGTTAGTTGACAGTTGTCAAATGTCATACAATCTCAATACAAAAATACAAAAGTATTAAATAGTTTCTCAACCCCAATATTTGAAAAGTTTATATGAACATTGTACTGACCTTTTAATTTCGCCGGCAGTAAACTATAACTTAAATTCGGGCACGGACTCTACTGTAAAGTCCTCATAAAACATTTTCTTTACTTTCACTGTGAAAAACTGTCAATTTTCAAGAAATACATTTCGATTTATAACCTTTATAATTGTGTTTATAAAATGTAAAATGTGACATTTAACGGTGTCACCCAGTTTCCCCTGTTTCATAGATATAATAATATAATAAAACGACTTTATTTGATATAAAAAGTAATACATCAAAAGGGCTAAGTTTGATCATGGATCATTCTTCCACTTTGGCGCTCTATACAAATTTTTGATTTAAATCATTTTAAGATAATAATAAGTATTTGTCGTAGAAAAAGTATAGTATGCACCTCGTTTATAAACTTGTATTTACACTTATTAAATTAAATTCGTGTATAAAATGGCGTTTATCAAACTTGATACATAAAATACTATTATTTTAATATAAAAACGCTCAGGCAAATTTTAAAAAGCAGTTTAGCGTCGAGATTTAAAAATTAAAAATAATATAATAATTACCAATTTTAAAATACACATTAATAACATTAATTAAAATACACATTAATAACACAAGAAAATGGGAATAAAATTACAGTCGGTTTTGTGAAGGCCCCATAGATAACTGCAGCAGTATTATAGCCTATTGTTAAGAGACAATAGTATACAAGTATAAAAATATAATTTTTTTGTATAATTATTTTAATATACTATATGCTATAGCAGCTAGTGTAATAAAATAATTATACAAAAAAAATTATATTTTTATACTTCTATTAATAATAGGCTATAATACCTAGATATTATTTGTGTTCTTTCGTATAAATAATACTGACCAATTTCAAACCAACTCACGTTGATAGGCATTTATTTTAAACTAATTGGGTTTTTAATTGGAAAAAGTGAGGTTGGAACTTTTTAACAGATGTCAGATTTTTTATATACAGGGTGTTTCATAATATATGCGCAGGACTTCAGGATGTGATAGCTCATCCAAAAAGATGAAAAAAGTCGCTATTAACTTACCCTCTAAAATGCACAATTTTCGAGATACATGGTGTTGAAATTTTAGAAAAAAAATCGTTTTTTCGAATATCTCCGGAACCGTTTATCGTACAAAAAACAGCTTTTGTAAACATTTTCTACTCATAATAAGCTATGTTTTGTGTCAGAAAAATTTAGGGGTAGCGGGTGTCTTTCTCCTCAACTTTTACGCCCCTGAAAAAAGTACGGTTTTGAGAGGCCCATTCGAACCGCCAATGTTTTCTACACAAAAAAGATACTCTTGGTCATAAGCTCTAAAGTTGTCCGTTTTCGAGAAAAATCAACTTTTATGTTTAAAAACATGGTCAATTAAACAAAATTTATTTTAACGTTAGAACAAGTAACGAAACCAAACGATAATTGCAAAATTAAAAAAAAATAAATAAAAAATGATTCAAAAGTTAAATTAAATGTTGGAAATGTCCACCGTAAGCTTCAATGCACGCAGCCATTCTTCGTCGCATTGACTGTCTAACACGCAGGAAAATTCCCGGAGTGTTCCGAATTATGTCGCAAGATGCAACAATGCGTTCTCTTAATTGGTCAACATTTTCAACTGGAGTAGCGTAGACTAGGGTTTTTAGATGGCCCCAAAAGAAAAAATCTAAACTATTAAGTTCGGGAGATCGCAGAGGCCAAGGGTGCGGACCTCCTCGACCAATCCAACGGTCTTGGTATGTGTCGTCCAAGTATTGGCGAGTTACAGAACTAAAGTGGGCTGGAGCTCCATCATGCATAAAATACATGTTCTGTCTTACACAAAGCGGTACAACTTCCAGCAGTTCCGGCAGTACTTCTTCAAGAAATTGTCGATAATCTGCATCGTTTAATCTGCAGCACTAACCACTAGTCCACCGTCGGCATATACAGGGTGTTATGTAATTAATGTTATATATTAAAAACTGAATACCTTTTGACATAAGGAATAAAGGAAAAATATTTAAAAAAACATTTTTCCAAAGATAAAGAAAAAATATGCATTAGAAGTTTTTTATATTTTTTGTGATACGCCACTGGTTACACACTTGTTTATCTCTGCACACCTGTATTTTGTGAGTACATAGATACCAACCAACAAAGTAGCTATGCGTTGCCAGATGTAAAAAATTGTTACTAAAAATTTTTCTTGCAAAAAATAAATAAAAACTCAATAAATACAAAAGTTTTATGCCCTTAAAGCTCTAACACCCTTCTGTATTTATTTACTCATCCAGCTATTAGCTTAAGCAATGATTAGAAAATTTAGTACCTTTGAAATTTGAAATCCATAACCACAAAATTAATTTTTTCATCAGTTTTTTTCTCTGCTTACTCAGATGAAATTGGGACCAGTTCACAGGTTAAACTTTAAACATTTAATTTGTGTAAATAAATCCAAAAGCACTTCCCTTAGTTAAGATATTTACAATTTGAAAACATAACCTAAAATTTAAAAGAAATGCACTAGATTCTGTCATAAAAGTTGGCAGATTTTGTTTGAATTTACCTTCAGTACAAAAATGAAATAACCAACAATTAATAAAAACGCCAAATTGACAATTGGCATTGTTAATTTTGTCATTTTTGTAATTAAGCTAAATTTAAACAATGTTTGTCAACTTTTTTGAGAGATTTTGGAAAAACTGTTGTTACCAACCATAACATAATAAATCCACCAGATTAACCTAAAGTTCCTAGTCGATCAGTGGCGTACTTTTTGGTAGGATAAAGGTTATTATAAATTATTTTTAGACTTTGGAATTTAGAAAAAAAAAGTTTCAGGTGCTTCTTTATGGACCCTAAGGAACAACCCATTTTAATATATAACATTAATTACATAACACCCTGTATTATAGATATTTAAAATAAATACTTGGCGCCATAAACCAAGAAGTTGTGTGCATACAGCAGATTGCGGTAATCGTGCGTCGGGACGCTATGGCACAAACCCGATGCCGAATGCATTTATGTACGATAGGAGGTACCGTGTGCCAATGCTAAGTATATCCCGAAAGCGTCTACGCGGCCGACGACGCGGTCCCGGTCAGTCTCTCGCGACCAGACGTTGCCGTCGGAATATCAGAATACGCGTGATAGCCCACACCCGTGAAAATGTAGATGTAGTTTCCCGTGTCAATGACATTTACTCGACCTCGTCTGTTCTCCGAAATGAGCGAAAACTTTCCAGAACCCAGTACCAGTGCAAAAGAACCGTCAAAAAGAAAACATGAAAAAGCCAAGTTACCCACCCCGCCTCCGGATCCTACGGGAAATAACGATCCTGAAAATATTGCAGAGTATATTGATTCCCTTAAACGATCGACGGCTACGTATGCTTCACTGGTGGCCACCGAACAGGCATTTGATCATTATTTAAACTTGTTTCAACTAATAGGGCAAATGCTGAACATCAAAGAACAAAACGCAAAGCTACACAGGCGAATCCGCGACCTAGAGCAGATGAACAACCTAACCAAATTGCATAAGCAGTTGGAACATGGAATACACAAGGACTGTCCAGAGCTGGACAAGGACACAGCGTTCGCCGAATCCATACTGGAGGATATTCTTTTGGAAATCAGGAAGGAACAGGAGCAAAACAAACACCAACGCTCACGACCTTCGCTTCTATCCAGGCAGCGTAACCGCAGCGGATCTGCGACCGACAAGTCCATGATGAACTTGGACCCGGAAAGGCAATCCAAAGTGTCCAAGTGGACGAAGGTTAAGGCGGCGTTCAAATGGGAAAAAGCTTCCACCAACATTGAAGAATCCAAGCCCCAAGAAGGTGACCTGACACCTGTTAACAAGGAGTTGGCGTGCTATTTAAGAGTACCTTCCACCAGCGGTGAGGATACCGGGCATAGCCCCGTGGATTCTGTCCTTGCAGAAATGTCTACTCCTGGGTCGTTATCAACTGCATCTTCGAATGAAGATTTTAATAAAATGGGTATGTTATTGGTTTTATTTGTTTTATTATAGTGTGTATTAGACTGGGCCAAAAAAATCAACTTTTTTTTTTTTTAAAAGTATATCGGAAATATTAGTCCGGGAGGCAGTGAAGATTTTCGGTACTTATTTTCCCAGTCGGCAAACACCGATACAATTATTGGGTTTGTTATTCTGAGCAAAATTTATATATATTTAGGGGGGGGGGTTTCCAATGGGTTAAGGCGGAAAATGCGTTATAAAGTACAAATATATTGCACTTTTTTTTCCAGTGATAAAAATAATTCCATTAGTGAGAGATATAGTGAACTTAAGAAAAAAAATAGTCTGGCTAATCTGTGAGTATGGGTAATATGTCTGGCAGGTGGAAAAATTATCAAAACCATTGCCCTTATTTTCGCAGTCCTAAAAATTTTGTGAGATGATAGTTTATATTATAATTACAGCTGCAAATATAGTCTGGGTAATGTGGAACACTCCGAAAGCCTTGCCAGACTCGTCCAACCCTCCACAGGCGCGCTAAATTCGGCATGTTCAATTATACAGGCGATTGTTATCATCTCTACATGTTTTTACTTTTCATAATGTATGATAAGAAAATAATTTGTGTAAAGCAAAATTTAAATATGGCTAAAAAAAAATGTCAGTCCGTCCGCCACCAAAAAACAATATTCGCGAATAACTTTGTAACTATCAGAGATACGAGAAAATTTGTGCAGTTGTTTTTTGTAGGATTCTCTACAAAATCGATCTCTTGACAGTCTTTTGTATCTCCCTTAGTTTTTGAGTTATATCAATAAAAAAAAAATCGCGAAATTAAATTAAATAAATAAGCACCCGTCGCTTCCTCTCCTCATTTAACTATCTGACTTGTGAGTCTGGCGGCGCTTTCGTTATTGTAAATATCAGCCAGACGTGTATTTTCTACGAAATTATAGTATTATTTATCATGTGACAAATTTTCAAATCCGGGAAAATAAGACCAAAATTTTTGTAATTCTTACGATTTTCAAGATGCCGCCAGAAAAATTTGCAAATTTCATAAATCAGCCAGACTTAATTTTGATTATAGTTTATGACAGTACCAAATAATGGGTTAAATTTAAAGCATTGGAACATAAGGGCTACGTATTTCAAAAACCGGTCAAATTTTTGCTTCCGCATATTTTCAGCCAGACTGACTTTCCTTCACTTGGGATGTGCCAGACTGTTTTTGCATTAATAAAGTGACTCACTTTAATTAATGTGAAATATTTATGACTGGGAAAATAAGTGGACTTGACTTTTTGGCTCATCTAGTGAACCCATCCGAAAATTTTAGCCAGACACACAAATTGTCGTTTTGTGTCACCTTTTGAACAAACTTAATAACATTCACAAACTGGGAAAATAAGAAGATAAAAATCTTCACTGCCTCCCGGACTATATGGTTTGGGTTGAAAAAAAAAATTATTGTGAAAGTTTGAGTCCAAAATATTAATATTAAGAGGTCTATCAACGCAATAACGCAATTTTATTTTTTTTTTTCTTCAGCAAGTTTAACTATTGAGTTTAACAAAATTGACTCAAAAATATTTTTTTAAGAAAATTAATTCCATAAGAATATTTATCGGTTTTTTTCCGGGTACTGATTTTTACATGAATTACAAAATTCCAAAGTTAAAAATTGTAAAACTATACCAATTTTTAAGCCATGATTGTAAGAAAACGGTTCATCTGACGGGAAATTCCAATTTTACCTTTTTTGTAGAAAATTCAATTTTCTTCAAAAAATGATTTTAGGTCAATTTTGTTAAACTCAATGGTTTGGGAGTTCTGAGACAAAAACTCGCTCAGGAAAAAAAAATCTAAAATTGCGATGATAGACCTCTTAATATTAATATTATGGACTCAAACTTTCACCATAAATTTTTTTGTCACCCAAAACAATATTTTCGATATACTTTTCAAAAAAAAAAATAGTTGATTTTTTTGGCCCAGTCTAGTGTGTATAAAGGATGTTCCAATAGAAGCATCATAAGAAGTTTTAGAAATTCACTACAAATAAAGAAAACATTTTGAGTTTATACAGAATATCAGACAATCATTTCAAATCTATTAAAAAAATAATAATTTTTAAAATAATATTAACTGGTGGATTTCAACTTATATAAAGAAGACTTTTTGTCAACCGTAAAATTCAGAAACTGAAAATTGTCCGCCATATTTTTTTAACAAAATTAAATGTTTATCGTTATTTTGGTAACGCAGAATGTTAACTGTTAAGGTTTTTGATAGTGTTAAATATGAAACTTAAGTTTGGTATTAGCTTAAAAGCTTTATAATATTACTTAAACTATTAAAACTACATTTTAAGAGCATAATTTTCCAATAATGTATTTTTATACAATATATATGGTTAAAATATTAAAGCTTCCTGTATGGGTACCTATCTTTTTTATTTAAAGAGCTACAAGGTCGGCAAATAATTAAAAAAAAAACAAAAAGTTTCGTTTTTTCTGTAAAATTTGAAAAAAAAAGTAAGGTTCACATCCAATTTGTTACCACTCCATATTGGAATTTTACATGGTTGTATAAAAAGAAACAAGGAATCCAGCGATGTTTAAAACTACATAAGTTTATAAAAACAAAAGATGGTGAATGGTAACTCAAAATATAGTAGCGAATAAATGTAATGAAAATGTAGATTAATATAAAACTTACTTTTTTTAAACTCACACAAATAACAAAGTTATAACAATTTTAGTTTGAAAGGTCTTTAGTTTTTTAATTTTTTGAGAACAGCTGGCTTTTTTACAATTTATAAATTTCATTTTAATAGGCAATATGTAATTACAAAACTTTTAACCGATCTTGTAGCTCTTCAAATAAAAAAATTCTTTTAATTTGAGGTATTTATTATTTTATTCAAAAATCTGTTCGTACGCTTTTTTTCTATTTTTTCTCTTTCTAAACCAAAAAATGCCCGTTTTTCCTAAATAACTGCGTTGATCTTCTAGATAATATATATAAAATATCAAGCATTAATGATATAAAACATTATTAAGATTTTTCAAAAAAAAAACAAAACTAAAATTGTTACATAAAATTTAGACAAAGATGATAAGCAGATAAAAAAATGTTAGGTATTTGGTTTAAACTTAATCTAAAAATGTATGATTTTACTAAAATAATAATGTTTATTTTTAGATTTTTAAATTTGACGCTCATATTTTAATACTGAAACACAAATTATAGATCTGGTTTTATATGAAAAAAATATTGTTTAATATTTATTAATGTAAACGCTTATAAATCTGTTGAATTTTTTTAAATTAAAATTTTAATTAAATTAATTAACATTGACAAAAGTTCAAGTGAAAATGACGCAATGGCTGTATTATTTTAATCCAAAACAACTAATTTAAAAAAATGCATGCATATTGATATATCCGAAATTAGATTTAGTAAAGAATGCAAAAAGTAAATAGAAATTAATATGCATGTTTTCGTAAACGTTTATACCAATGTTAAAACCGAATAAAAATAAATTTTGAAGTGCAGTTCGTCGGTTTTAACATAAACGTATCAATAAAATTTTCAAGGCGAGCTAAATATACCCAAAGAAAAAAATTCTGTATGTTGACCCAAATAAAATCTGAAGAAATTTAAATTTATTTTAATTCATTTACGCGTGGAAAAAAATTATCTATAATTTAGCTTACACAAATGTTGATAAGTGACGAGAGAGGCGCTTAATTTTAAATAAGATTTTTGTACTAAATTTTTGCAAAATATTTATGATTATGATAAAATGAAATGTTACCTAATAGAAAAACAACATAACATTTTTTTAAATCATTTATATGTTCAGTCATAACTTTTACAAAATTTAAATATAATAATATAAAATAATAGTAAAATATGTGAAATTTGTAATTAATTAAATATCTTATTAACGTTAAGTTTATTTATAAACACAAAATGTTATAATTTCAAATAAATGTATAAATAGAACGGCATATACAATTCTGGTTACTATTTATAAAATCAAATGCTGGCAACTACACACATTTAATTTTTCCTTGTTTTTACATGCTTTGTGTCATTGAACGAAGCTGGTATTAAAAAGTATCATTTAATTGAGTGCATAAACCTTAATTAATTTTAAATTGTTTTGTATCTTTTATATCTAAAATAAATTAATGGTTTTAAAAAACCGTTCGGATTTATGTTATGACAATCGATTTGAGACAAAATAACAATATTTGCGAAGCATGCTAACTTGCTGTTTTTCTATTGCCTTCTAATTCGCTTGATAATTTTAATAGCGTTTTTTTCGAAAACGGTTTGCTTCATGACTTGGAAACAAGAGCACCTTTTTTACGTAAAATTATCTTGAGAATTGTAATTCAAGTTCGAGAATTCAAAAAAACATACAACAAAAATATGACAATTTTTTCCCTGAGTAGACCCGGACCTATGGTCATCACTTATCCGATTTGACACCACCAGATGATTTCTTGCCCAAAGAATACCCCAGAAATATAGCATCATTATTTTCGCACTAACCCTTTCTAAAATTATTAATAAAAACCTGATTTTCCAAAACCGTTTAAAATGCCTCTAGCGTCCCCAGGAGGCATTTTCGGACATATGTTTATAAGAACTTTTTCTTTTAATTGTACCACAGAATTTAAAAAAAATATATATTTTTACTTGTAGAATCACCTCCCGAAATATATTAACGTTATTTTCGGACACCCTGTATATATTCCATCTATTTACCATAACACGGGACCTAACACCTGGGTAATATTATAAACATACTTCCACACATATACTGCTTATTCGATATTTTTTGTAGATGATATGATATGTAGGTGATATATATATATATATAACGGCTAATTAGCTGGGCTAAGCTAGATTAACCGGTTAAGCCGCCAGCTAATTAGCTAAGCTAATTCAGTTAACCGGTTAAATTAGCTAAGCTGATCAGTTAGCTAGCTAATTAACAGC